CGACACGCACTGGCGCGGGTCGATCGAGGCCCACCCGTGTTGACGCGGGTCGGTTGCGACTGACCCGCGTTGGCGCGGGTTCCGAGGCTCTTCGTTCTCTGTTTTCTCTTTTCGGTGTTTTCCGACTTCCTCGGTCCTGTATTCTCCATCGTTTTGTGTATTTGGTCGACTCATCGACTTGTACGCTTTGCTGAGATTGATTGACGAATGCAAGATGATTGACGCGCGCATGTTGACCGACGCGCGCGAGCTGATTGATGTGTGCGTGTTGACCGACGCGCGTGAGCTGATTGTTGTGCGCATGTTTGACCAACGCATGCGAGCTGATTGACGTGTGCGTGTTGACCGACGTACGTGAGCTGATTAACGCTTGCGTGTTGATTGACGTGCACGAGCTGATTAACACGTGCGTGTTGACTGACGCGTACAAACTGATTGACGCGTGCGTGTTGACCGACGCATGCGTGTTGACCGACGCGCACGAGTTGATTGACGCGTCCACTCTTTGCTTTGAGTTTCATGCGGGCTCTCATAGGTAATTTTAGACGCCTACAGATACCCCCTCCAAAGTGTTTTAGCCTTATTCTTTTATAGAGGAGTCTGAAATGCTTTGGATATGATAGACCCCCACCTTCAATCGGTGTCAAAGGACCTACAACTGGTTTTAGTTTTGGCTTCTCCATTTTTCAGTCTATTCTGCATTTTGTCGAATAGCTGAAATTTTTTCCGGTGTTACGTTTATCGTCTGACCGTTGTTAAAGCCTCGAACCAGAATTGGTGAGTTGATTTTGGCTCGTGTCATTGAGTTAGCTTTTGAACTAATTATTTGCGTCACAACGTGCTAGCCGGCGTTGACCTGGGGCTACGCATTGATCGGTGTTAACCCTAGGGTTTCAGATCAATCGGTGTTGACTCTTATCGCAACGCGTTGACTAGCGTTGACCTAGGGCTATGCGTTGACCAACGTTGACCCTAGGGTTTCATGTCAATCGGCGTTAACTCTCATCGCAACGCGTTGACCTGGGGCTACGCTTTGGCCGGCATTGACCCTAGGGTTTCATATCAATCGGTGTTGACTCTCTTCACAACGCGTTGACTGGTGTTGACTTGGGGCTACGCTTTGATCGGCGTTAACCCTTAGGTTTCATATTAATCAGCGTTGACTCTCTTCACGACGCGTTGACCCGAGGACCAGTTTATACTCGTATACTCATGGGAGTTTCGGGAATCAGTTTAACCTCACGTACCCATTAGAGGTTGCAGGGTTATCCTTAAGAATATTATGCGTAATATTCTCGAGGAACTTCTCGTCAAGAGTGGGACACAGTTTAGACTTGTATATCCATTGGAGTATACGTGGGTCCCGAATATCCCTAAAGTGAACAAAACTGCTGCGAAGCCACCCGGAAATATAAAATTGGGTCCAGAATATCCTAAAAGTAGGCAAAAATGCCGCTAAGCCACCCAGGGATATGAAATTGGGTCTCAAATATTCCGAAAGTAGGCGAAAGTAGGTGAGAATACGATGAAAATGACCAACCGAATCATGCCCGACCCGTGCGAACACGGGTCATGTGGATCCGACCCGCGTGATTGCGGGTCAGATCTATCTTACCCACGCGTACGTAGGTCAGATTTGATCCGACCCGCATGCTCGTGGGTCGGGCGGTGATCTGACCCGCATAAGAGCGGGTCGGGGGTTTGTTTGGGGGGAAAATCCGTTCCCTTGCTCTTTCTTTTCTTCTATTCTTCTTCTTCCTTCTTCATTTCCAGTCTTCTTTCATCAACTTCAGAGAAGAAAACGAACTCCTCCCAACCGAACTTCTTTCCCCAAGCTTGGCTTTCCTTTATACTTCTTCTCCTTCAAGAGTTCTCCTCCTTGAAGAGTTCTTCCCCTTCCTCAATTTCAACCGAATCCAAGAGCTAGGGTTTCGGTTAGCAATATTTGGGTTTCGATGGCTTGGTGTGGTTCTCTCCTTCGAGCTCGTGTGTTGATTAAGGATCGAACTTGTATATGACTGAACCCCTTAACTTTTATTTGAGTGTAGCCGAGACTCTGCTTGACTTTGAACTTATGTGTATGTCATGTTCCCTTCGCTCGGTTGTTATTCTTGGATTTGGGGGAAGCCCTTTGTTGAATTTTTGGTTGCTTTGGATGCTCAACCTCGGTTGAGTATGTAATAATGACTTAGACCATCTTCAACGCGACGCCAATTTGCCGCAAACCGCTATTTTGCAGCTGCTCCGGAGCTCCAACGCAGCGCCATTCTTCGCTGCATTTTAGCGGGGATGAACAGCGCGACGCTATATTTGTCGTTGCACTGTTCATCCCCCCATTACTGTTTCCTTTTTTTTCAATTTTTGGTTTTTACCTCATACTTTTATGTATTCACAAATTGACCCCAATTGTTTTATTAAATGTTTAAAACAACCACAATAATATTTAAATTTTATACTTTTACCACAATTGTATAATTTAGACAAAATAAATTATTTTTTATGGCTAAAAATAATGCTAAAATTTAAAAGACGTTATTATTAATTATAATATTAAAATCTAGAAATTATAAGTAAAGTCCCATGAATTATAAAGAGCAATCATAATACATAATTCAAATATAAATTACATATCTGAAATACATAACATATAAAAACTGACACACATAGTATAAAACTTCATTAAAATAAAACATAAAATACAAACTAAACATGGAACATTTCCTGAGATGGACAAGCAACTCTCAATACTCTGGTAGATCGGGGCCAGAGTGTCCAATATCATTAAAATAATTGCCAAAATTAGAAGCAGACCCTTGTTCTTGTTGATTTCTTTTTTGTATTATTTTAATCTGTTGAGCTCGAACGTACTCCCGCACGTTTGGATCAGCAATGGAATTCAAATCTTTCATTATAATTTTCCATTCATCTCTATCTTTTTTCATAGCTATCTTTTCTCGTTCGATATCAAATGCTACCTGCCTATCCAAGCTCGCCTTGTCTAACCTATCTATAAGTCGGTTGTTGGAGGTCTCGATGGATTCCACTACGCTTGACTCATGATCATCATTTTTTCTTTTTAATTTGGCTTTTTTTACCCCAATAGGTCGTTCAGATGGAGTAAACGATGACAGCCCATGAGATGTTGATATAGGAGATTCCGGAGTGAGATTATCTGATTGTGACGAGTCGAAGTTCACACTTTGGGCTTGTCTTCAACCAACTTGTCTTGCTGTGGGGACATCATCTTTAAATTTTTCGAAATTTTTAACCATATTCCAGACATGATCAAATTTGAAACCTTTTTTGTACTTTGGTTCTTGCATAAATAACATCTTTGCTCGAACTAACTGCAAATTGTAATGAACATCAAGTTATGTTTTTCAACAATAATAAGAAATTTCAAACGATAATTAATAGAATACTTACAATATCTTCATCTGAAGCACCACTTGAATTCAGATTCTCTACTTGTCTCAAGCACGCATTCAATTTCCTTACGTCATTACTTATGATTTCCATTCGAGAACGAATTGATCGGCTCGTACGCACATCAGAATTTTGGTCTCGAAGTTCATTGTATTTGTCCTCCACACGAGACCAAAATGCATCTCGAGACTAGTTTCTACCGATAATAGGGTCTTGAGAAATATCCAAGAATACTTGACAAAGGAGCACATCTTCAGTAATAGTGTATCCAGATGATCGAACAGACATTTTTTTTTTGTAAAAAGCGGTTGGTTTGGAGATTAGAAATACTTTGAAGAAATACTTCGAATTGGGTGGCTTGAAGTAGAAACCGTGAATGTTATTTATAGCCAATCCAAATTTGTTTTTTTTGTTTGAATTTGAATTTGTCAGTGGTCAACATTTGAAATTGAATCGTTATGGACAAACTGATCAGCTTTACACATTGTCCAACGTTGTCGATGTGAATCATTTTTTGAAAACTGATCAGCTTTACACATTGTCCAATGTATACACAGCTCAGATTTCCTTAAATTGTGTAAAAGCTTTGTACGAGTGGGGATCATTTTTTGAAAACTGATCAGCTTTACACATTGTCCAACGTATACACAGCTCAGCTTTCCTTGAATTGTGTAAAAGCTTTTTACGAGTGGGAATCATTTTTTGAAAACTGATCAGCTTTACATATAGTCCAACGTATACACAGCTCAGCTTTCTTTGAATTGTGTGAAAGCGTTGTACGAGTGAGAATCATTTTTTGAAAACTGATCAGCTTTACACATTGTCCAATGTATACACAGCTCAGCTTTCCTTGAATTGTGTAAAAGCTTTGTACGAGTGGGAATCATTTTTTGAAAACTGATCAGCTTTACACATTGTCCAACGTATACACAGCTCAACTTTCCTTGAATTGTGTGAAAGTTTTGTACGAGTGGGAATCATTTTTTGAAAACTGATCAGCTTTACACATTGTCCAACGTATATACAGCTCAGCTTTCCTTGAATTGTGTGAAAGCTTTGTACGAGTGGGAATCATTTTTTGAAAACTGATCAGCTTTACACATTAACTGATCAGCTTTACACATTGTCCAACGTATACACAGCTCAGCTTTCTTTGAATTGTGTGAAAGCTCTGTACGAGTGGGAATCATTTTTTTGAAAACTGGTCAGCTTTACACATTGTTCAAGTATACACAGCTCAACAAAGTTTTATAAATAACATACTAGATTAGGTACATCCACACAATTATTCGTTGTTGTGTTAAAATTATTATTTTCTATTTCTGCATACCTCAATCATTCTTTTCTTACTCCAAAAATGAATTTCGATGTTGGAGGTCCATCATATTTATCATCATCTTCATCTTCGGATGATGATAATTTTCTTACCAATATCATTGTAGAGATTGATGAAACCGAAGAAGTAATTTGTGAGTACATCAACAACAACATGATCATCGCTAACAATTTACGTCAACAAAACTACCAACCGATCCATGGTGGCTCGATTCCTGGTCATGCAGTGATCAACCGCGATCGAGAAAATGCGCATCAGAATTTGGTCATAGATTACTTTGCCGATAATCCACGTTTTGGAGAAGATATGTTTCGTCGTCGATATCGGATGTCAAGAAGTTTGTTCATTCGTATTGTTGATGCAGTGAAAGATCATGACCATTACTTCCAACAACGAAGTGATGGACTTGGTAGAATGAGATTATCACCGTTACAAAAAGTAACAACTGTTTTTCGCATGTTGGCATACGGTCTACTAGCTAATGCTACGGACGAATACGTTAAAATAGGTGAGTCAACAGCAATTGAAAGTATGAAAAGATTTTGTCGTGCTATGGTGGAGATATTCGCAGAGCGGTATCTACGAACACCTAACGCTAACGATATTGTTAGGCTACTTTATATTGGTAAAAAACATGGTTTTCCAGGAATGTTAGGAAGTCTTGATTGTATGCATAGGAAATGGAAAAATTGTCCAACAGCATGGTCTTGGCAATACACAGGACGTAGTGGGTCACCAACTATTATCCTTGAAGCTGTGGCAGATTATGATCTTTGGATATAGCACGCATATTTTGGTATGCCAGGCACCAATAATGATATCAATGTGCTGGAGTCATCTAATCTTTTCTCTAACCTAGCTCAAGGTATTGCTCCTCCCGCTCACTATGTTATTCAAGGAAAAGAGTATAATATGGGTTATTATTTAGCTGATGGTATATATCCGAAATGGGCTACTATTGTACAAACAATCCAACAGCCACAAGGTAGGAAGAAAAAATATTTTGCCATGAAACAGGAAGCATGTAGAAAAGATGTAGAACGTGCGTTCGGAGTTCTCCAATCACGATTTGCAATTGTGGCAGGATCAGCACGTTTTTGAAAAAAACATGTATTACATGACATAATGACTGCATGCATTATTATGCACAATATGATAATCGAGGATGAACGTGATCTTTATGCACCAATTCAAGAAGTGAGGGAAGCACCAACACCAGAAGTTGATATGGTAGCAGATGAAACTACAAGATTTACTCAATTTATTGCACGTTACAGAAAAATCAAGGATAAAGATGCCCATATTGCGCTTCGTAATGCATTGATAGATCATCTATGGGAGGAATACACTAATTCAGATAGTTAAGTGCATACTAAATTTGTAATTTTTATATTGTTGTTAATGTTTAATTATTTTCTTGTATTTTATTTTCTGTTGTGTTCTTGAATGTAATATTTTGGTAATATCAATAATAAAAATATAATATTTTAGCAATCAAGTTATTTTAATTAATAAAATAATATTTTATTGTTTTATTAGTTTAATTTTTTAAATAATAAATCATTTTGTTTGGAAAATATGTGAAAAAATAAAATTTGATATGTGGGGTTAATTGTTGAAATAGTTAAAAATATAGGGAATAAATAATAATAATATAAAAGTAGATAAAAAGAAAGATACTGAGAATATTCCTTTTTGGTGTAAAAAATGGTGCAGTGGGTTGAAGATGAATTACTGTTAGATGTTACTTTTGCACCATTTTGGTGCAAAATTTACACCATTTTGGTGCAATGGGTTGGAGATGCCCTTAGGCTTAGTTTTGCTTGATAACAGAATTCATGGCCTTGATTTTGTATGCATGTGCGTGAACTGAGACTTGGTTGAGATTTGGCATATTGGTCTTGAGTTTTTTATTTGCGCACGAGTATCGATTTCACATGAGGACCATGTTCTTTTGTTTGACTCTGGTTCTGTGCATAAACTAAAGCACAGTTATATAGGACTTGAACTGTGCTTCTGAAATGTTTGGTGGTTTGAACTTTTGGTCTTGAATAAGCATAAATTCTCAATTCAATTCAAGGGCGACATTGAGACCTTAATCTTTTGGATTAGATATGGCCAAGAAATGAGCTTGTTGCCTTAGCTTCATGTGTTTATTCTCCTAGCCCCAATTTGAATTGGAAATACTTTATAGGTTTAATTGGATTTTTTTAATCGGAAAATTCCATTTCATAGAATTCCAGTTAAAGATTCACAGCTTACCTTTTTAATATTATACTTCTCAATTCTCTGAATAATTGAATTGTTGGTCCCCATTGCAATTAGCTATGTCGACCAGGAGATCTCGTATCCCAAGGAGTCGATCGGCCACCCAGTCTCCTAAGAGAGAGCCTCTCTCTTTCGCTGGTAAACTTCTATAATTTCCCACTTGTGAATTCAGTATTTATCATATCATATTGCATATTGCATCCCCGCCCTGTCCTCCTTGGTGAGGCAATTATGAAGAGCTAATATCCTCCTTTGTGGGGTGGATGCTTCTATATTACGTCCTCGCTATGTTCTCCTTGGTGGGGCATTTGGGAAGAGCTAATATCCTCCTTTGTGGGGGTTGATGCTTATCAGATACGTTTTGCTTGGTCAAATCGCGTCTTAAGGCAATATGGGATGATTTTTGCCGTATTACGTTTCGTAAGATAGGGTACATTATCGCCCTATTCGTGCAATAATGTACATTATCTTGTGTATTTGTGATACAGTTAAAATCGTCTCGCCAATTACAAGGTAATGACTCTATCTCACGGATTGGTGAAAAGAGTTCAACACCCTGTGTCACCTTAATATTTTCTTCATAATTACGTTTAATAAATACGCATTATTCGTTTCAGTTGAATACCCTGCAACGATGTTTTCTCAATTCGAGATAGATGACCATAGGAGTAGATATTACACTGCTGTTGATAACCCGTCGTCGATTCCGCCCACTTCTCAGTTCTCCTGGGACATCCCCGATGAGCTCTCTAAGTTAGTACGGGAGGGGGATCATCGTATCACGCGCCAGTTAATTACAAACACGCCATTCACTGAAGATATGGATACTACTCATCTTTTAAGAAAGACACATTACATGTTCGGCGATTCCGTGACGGATCCAACCGTCATAACCCTACGGAGATGAACGATGGTTACACATTGATGGTACGACTTGCTTATACCTTCCTCCGTTCCCTCGTCATCATTCGTTAACAGAATTGTGGGGGCAAGTGGTGACGCGATAGATGCCGTGGACTCAGACAGAAGAGCACATCAACATTCCTTGCGAATATGTTACCAGCCATTCACTTCCGAGTTCTAGTGGTAGAAAACACATCACAAGATTACACCCCGGCGTGATGGGATTGGAGGAGCCGCCTAAAGGGGAGCTACCTATAGTGGCTCGCACAGTGAAGAATCACCTCGCTGAGCTAGGGCGAGAGCTACCTATCGAAAATTACAGGTGTCATGGCTGATCTCATTCTTCAGACAAATTATGGTGGGGCCGGATGACAGGTTATGTCCTCCACCGGTGGGGTGCTGAATTGAAGTCGATAAGATTATATGAAGCTATTCGTGCCACCCAATACGGATTATCGATAAATGCTCTCCACTTTACGAAATTGATAGAGCTGTACAATCCAGATGCCAACACTTTTCTTACCCGAAACGAAGAATTGGGACTACCCTTCCATGAGATGCACAAAGTCTCTAGACTGCAAATGAGAGATATGTCGTATCAGGAATATTTTCCCTCCTACTGGGAGGTACATCAATTGAAAATCTACAAGCTTGCTCGATACGACACGTTATGGGAACTCACGTATCATTATCAAATTGCTTTAGCCGGAACTAAACCAATTGCGAGGAAGAAATCTCCTCAAATAAGCTTGAAGCAATTCTCATGTTACCCGTTCAAGAATTTGGAGAAATCCGGCGAATCTGTTTGTGGACTGAAACTGCTGATTCCTTCAGAGATCAGCAAGTTGGTTGAGAAATGCAATGCCCGATCTTACACCATTGCGAGTGCCCAAGGTAGATTTTGTGTAGGGACTTAGTTCAAGACATTCTTATTGCAAGCGGAGAAATCCATCCACCCCAAGACTTTGTTGACTGGTTATATCGCGCTTTGGTTGAAGAAGTGTGTGGTGCCGTATCAGACCTCAGATGCTTTACCAATAGAGGTGTTATTTCCCGCTGTCTAGCTTGCCTATGGAAGGAGCTTATCTCTTTTGCCAGCAATGGTTACCGACATCCATCGTGGTCTTCGTTAAGTTGTCACAGTTTTTACTCAAACTAAGGAGACCCCATCCGAGAAGATCCCCATGGCGAAGGCAAAGATCCCTTATACCTATCTGATGGGGTGGCTAGTTCTCCATCGCCCTGATCTGATGTCGCCTCCTACTAATACAGATCTATCGACTCCTTTGCTACAATTACTCGAGGAGTGTATATGGAAAGCTCGGGACCTCTCGGAAGTTAGGAAGAGTTTGTATATGCACAAGGGTTAGGTGATCAATCCATGCCTCCCTTGATTTGCCAGCAAATATGGTAGGATGCTTACCGACATAGAAGCGTCCAAAACCGATCGGACTTCTCTCGATGTTGGCTGCTTCAGGTGGCTTATGAACATAAGGCTAGGCCATCTCATTTTCTGAGTGAAGGAGTACTGCTATTTAGAGCCTTATTTGCCGTGCCGGTTCTACCGTCAATTTGGATATGACCAGTTATATGTTGGGAACCCGAACCAATGGTTTCATACTCACGGTAGACTAGTGGACGGTGTTCGTGCTTGGCTGTGGAATGTGACGGGCTGTACCGGTGCCAAGTTCAATTTTCTGAATACTGACCGCCACTTAGAGCTCACATATTTGTGTTGCAAATGGATTATGGAAGCTAACGAGCCCGTTCCCCTAAGACCAATTAAAGACTTGATGGCTGAAGTTGCATCACGTATTGCTAATAGGATGGTTCGAGAAAATCTGCAAGAATAAAGGAAACACGACAGTAAGCTTGTTGGTCCCTCAGGCAAAGGTAAGCAAAAAGTAGAGAAAGTAGAAGAGGGATCATTCGCTTCCGACGAGGAGACTTCTGAAGAGGATCAAGTCACTGGTGATGGTGCTATAGAGGTCAACAACGACTTCGAGGAACATGCAGCAGGTTTGTCTGAGTCTATTTATAAAGAGCTATGGGATCTATCGATTGCTAATCGAGCTCGTCGACTTAAAGCTCGAAAGAAGTGGAGAATTTCGCCAACTTATAATAGAATGATGGTTGAACTTTCAGATGTAGGTTCCGAGGAGGAAGAGGAGAGAAGTAGCCTTATCACTCGTGCTCGATCTCGGGCCACAACTCAAGCAGGATCGCAAATTGAGTCGCGTGCCACATCAACACAGGACAGACCTGTGGATCTTAAAGAGGTGCGACCTACAAAATGATTGAAGTTGACCATCAAGCGACACGCTAAACCTCAGGCTTCTCAAACGGAGGTGGCCGGCGATGCACCCCTTGGTCGGGAAGGTAATGTTCCAACTCTTGTCCTCTCCTCAATCTTTTCATCTACCAAGCTTTAGACTCAGCAAATTTTTATATTCTAGGGGGTCATAAAGAAGACGTCATGATATACAACCCTCCTTCTCCCGACTTAGACTTTTTTGGAGGATCCAGCTTCGTGCCACAAACAGATGAGGCTATAGCTGAGGATCTGGCAGGTGTTGATGCAAGTGCAGCCATTGATACCGGCGAGAGTGTTGTTGTAGAACCTGGTTTACCTACAATAGTCACTAGCCCAGGTACATCTAACCTCGATAATACACCTTTCAAATAGTAATTTAGGAAATTGACTGATTTAGAATTCATGCCTCCGTTAATTGTTTCTATGCTTCTGGCTCTTTTAGAAAAACTACAAGAGGCTATTGCTGATGTCGGAATGGCAGATTCTCCCGTTACTACTGGAGGTAACTTTGGTTCTCATTCATCATCAATTTCCAACTTCTCATCTCATGTCTTAACACTGGACTTTTCTGTAGACATTCTGGTGGAAGGTTTAAATGACGAAGAAGTCTCTCACG